CACTGGGACATGTAGTACCTAGTAGGGTAAAAATGAGACACATATGAGATGTGATGAGAATAAACAGAAGTTTTAAATTAAAAAATATTTATTATGATAAAAAATACTTCACTAATTTCTCTCAAAACTCTCCTGCTTATTTTGAACACATCCCATCATTCTTACTCCTATGTGAAACAATTTGGAAGTTTGTGGTTTTGTTGTATTATCATTGCTGCCTTAATGTCCTGAATTGTTTCAAAACATTCATCTTTCATAGTCATTTTGACTTTGAGGAAAAGTGAGAAATCACAGTAAATGAGTTGAATGAGGACACACCATTGTGTTTTAACAAACCTGCCTTTATGTTAGAGGGTACTTGCTAGCACTCATTATATTTTCGTCATACCTGGTAAAGGCACTCACAAAAGAGGAAGCCAGAAGTGTTTTAATTTTTAAATGTAAACACCGTATATTTTGAGTATAAAAAAATAGGACAACTAGTGAGCTACCGTGTGAACAACAGATTGATCCCAGGACTTGTGTCCAAACCTATACAAATCACTGGATGTCAGTAGGAAAAGACAGGAATTTTTTTTTTTTTTTGTACTGGGGATTGAACTCAGGCCCTTGTGCTTGTGCGGCAGGCAATAGAACCACTGAGCTAAATCGCCAGCCCAGGAAAATCTTTTTCTGAAATTCAAAGAAACCAGAGACTTTCTTATAGACATTTTGGGCCCTGCATGATCATCATAATTGAAATTAATTTCATAAGAGCAAGGAATACTCTTTGAAAATGATAACAATCACATAACTTCCTATCAAAATTTGAGAGAGAGAGAGAGAGAGAGAGAGAGGAATGAAAATCAAAGGAAAGTCCAGGAAGTAATCTCCAAATTAAAATGGAAATGCAAAGTAAAGCATAAGGGAAATACACATTTTTGTGTCAATAAAAATGGGTGACACTTAAGAGTTAGTGGTCAAAAAATACAATTGAAATAAAAAATTCTACAGAAGTTTAGAAGTAATCAAAACATCAAGAAGATATATAGTCCAAAACTAAGAGCTATGAACACCAAACCAAGAGATGTAGTTGCCAATTAATATGCGTTCTATGAAGAGAATAGAAAAAATATGTGAGGATAAAAATAATGTTTAAGAAGAGATTCTTTTCATGTTCACTTTCTGTTTGTACTTCTTTGTCTGAGAGGTGTCTATTGATTTCAGATGCCCATTTTTGGATTGGGTCTTAAATTTGGGAGGTATGATTTTTTAAATTTTTAATATAATCTAGATAGTAGACCTTTGTCTGAGGAACAGCTAGTAAAATTTTTTGCCGTATTTTGGGTTGTCTCTTAACTCTGTTCCTGGTTTTTCTTGCTGTGCAGAAACTTTTTAATAAGATGAGATCCCAGTTGTTGACTCTTTGTGCTAGTTTTGTTCATGAAGTCTTTTCCTAGGCCATTGTCTTCAAGGGTTCTGCGTAACCTCTCTTCAAGCAGGTTTATAATTTCTCTGGTGTGAGAAACTGAAAATGTAAATGAGGATCAAAATGTATAATACATAATGTGAAATAGGAAGAAAAGGTCCCAAGGGGAAAGAGAGGTGGGAAGAGGTAGGGGAAAGGAACAAAGGGAAAGGAAAAGAAATAGGAGAAAAGGAAAAAATGGAAACAAAGTCTTTGTAAATAGGGAGGGGTGGAGGACTTGAAGGGAAGGTAGGAAAATGGTGAAAAAATAAGAACCAGGATATATCACGTAAAGGTACAAATTTCCATTGATGAATGTCATCATATTGTATACCTAAAAGAACCAATAAACAATGAATTTAAAGAAGAGATTTTTTTTCAGGATGAAAGAATACACATTTCTAGATTTGAAAAACCCTGAGAGGTACAAAAATAATTAATTTTATAAGAATAAAGCGTATTTTCATGACATTTCAGACCCACAAAGGTTCACAAAACTTCCCTTCCTTTTGGCTGGAAATTGCACAAAATAGTAGGGGCAAACTACACAGGTTCTTGTGCCAATGTTTGTAAAACAGTTGTTTCCTTATAACTTTGTTAGCAATTCATCTAGAATAAGGGAGGGAAAAAAAGCTATCTAAAAGTGACACATCAAGACAAAGTTTCAAGTGTATTATTTAATTTATAAGATAACAATACATAAAATTTTAAAAAGACAACTATATGAAAAGAAATAGAAAAGAAGGTGGTGGTATAAGATAAACTTTCAACTATTAAAATGAAATCAAACAATATTTGAAACCACTCATAATAGTTTATCTTTTATTCACATACCTATAATAAATATATCCAAATATATTTAAAATAATCATATTTTCATATGCATGCATGGGTCTATAATGGCATATCTAAAGAAGTTGCCTTTTTCCATGCTCCTCTTCTCCCTAGAAACCAATTTCTAAGACAAGACGAAGATATGGAGAAAGATTTTTAAAAATCACAATGTGTTTTCATGGTGTAAACATTTTAGCAACATGACTACTGGTGGAAGCTATGGTTTCAGAAGCAGTAGAAAGGTGTACTTGGAGTGGGTGACTGGAAGCCGACTCTAGTAAACCCTAACTCCAATTGGTCTATTGGCTGCAGATATACATGTGCAAAGAAGAAGAGCTGAAAAAATATTGAGAGCCTGCCAACACTTAGAGCGCATGATAGTACGTATGGATCGGCTCCACCCCATGGTGGGCCAGGGCACCATCAGTAGGGATATAATGGGCAGATCATATAATATAATGGATATAATGGCTGGGGCAAAGGAACTCTCACCCTGATTATGGTTGTTGTTTCTACTGTCACCCCAGTCAAATCTCTTGGAATATCTGAGAAGCACATGAAATGGGGAGTTCTGAGAGCTTACCAATCAGTTAGAGGAATCTATTCATGTAGTGGATTTGGGTGTAAACTGCTGAAGCAAGTCATCTTGGAAATAAAAAGTCTTCAGCAGACCTAAGAAAACATTTATATGTGAGATCTCCTATTATTACTCACTATATTCCTGAAACAGTACTCTCAACTGCCTTTGATGGAATTCTGAGAATCCAATCTGAATGACAATTACAGAAACCTCTTTGCTATTATCAGCTGAGGCACAGATGTCTGCAGAAACACACTTTTTTCTGCACGACAGATCCTGCATATACCAACCTTGCTGAGTGAAAGGCATCCCAGTGGGAACAGCTGCAGCAAATGGCTTCTGATAGTACTTTGCTAGTACTTTTCTTGGATTATCTTACACACACACACACACACACACACACACACACACACACCCCCTTCACATCTTCCTATAACATCTGCATGAATAGGAGGAAAAAGACAACTCTGAAATCAAGGATGAAATAAAAAATATGATAGAACATGAAATACGGGATTAAAAAATTTTGACTCACAAATCTGAGTTCTATTTGTCCTGTGATAGTATAAATATTGTAAGGGTTTTTTGTTTTGTTTTCTTTTGTTTTTAACAAAGGACCTTGTGGGGAGATGAGCATGAAGGATATACCCCATTGTAATTCCTCTGATAAATAACCTCCAAGAAGCAGCAGATATTGTACTACATTGCACTTTGAGACTAGGTTTTCTTTGTCTGGACTACGGTACAGCCCGTCTGTCCTGTTTTTGGATGATGTCCATGTTGTCCTTGTCCTGTTTCATCCTATTTCAGTTTAAACACTGACCTTTGGGTAAGATTATTCTTATTGCTTCTCTTTCTCTCTTTCCTTTCTTCCTTCTCTGATCTATATATCTGGATACTGTTCCCTACCTCTCTGCGAATACGACCCTTCCCTCCCACCCGCCCATCTCATCTTCACTTACCTTCTGCAAGGCAGTCTTTTCTAACTATTT